TATAATTAATAAACAATGTATATTATTAACAATTTTATTTGATAATTTGAAGATCAGACAGTTACTAATGGCATTTATCTCACTTTGTACATTCTTAGAAGGAACTAGAGCATCTGGTTTGGACAAGAAAATGGTAAAATGATTTTTTCTGAAATGCTAGAGTTAAGAACCTTTTCTATGACTTGTGAAATAGAACTAAAATGTTAGGTTAACAATAGTGAAATAATTACATCATAAGATACTGTAATATAAGGTATAAGATACTGTAATACACATTTTATTACTTTTCAAAAGACAGCTGTGAATTTGTTTTTGACAACAGCTAAATTATGTTCTGTACTAAAAAGCAATGAAATGATTCATGCATTCATCAGATATTTATTGAATGTCTGCAACATTGTATGGCCAGTTCTAGAACTTGGAAATCCTGTAGTGAACCAAATAGTTGAGACCCCTGCCTCTGTGGAGCTGACATTCTTTGGGAAGACAGGTAATACACATAAACATACCTACAACGTCAAGAGGAGATAAATACCCCATAGGAAAACAAAGCAGTAAGTGGCAGAGAAAATACAGGATGTATTAACTATTTCTATATTATCAAAGAAGGCTTATTTAATAAGCTGTTTGATGAGATAAAAAGGAGCTAGAATGGAGTCAAAGGAGTTTAAGCCGGTATCTTCCTATTGCATTGCTGTTTTTTCTCCCATTTTGTATTGCAGAAATTATTAAATGTTAAGTTAATCAATTCAGTGTGAATAAGAAGATCACCATAGTTGCTTTGCTCTGAAAATTGTCAGTCTCATGTTCTAACAAATGTTATTAAGTTTCCACTGTGTGGCTGGTACCACGGCTCAAGCCTGTAATCCCAGCACTTTGGAAAGCCGAGACAAGAGGATTGCCTAAACTAAGGGGTTTGAGACCAGCCAGGGCAACTTGGTGAGATCTCATCTCTACAACAAATCAAAAAATAATTCAGGCATGGTAGCATGCACCTGTAGTTCCAGCTACTTGGAAGGCTGAGGTGGAAGGATTACCTGAGCCCAGCAAGTCGAGGCTGCAGTGGCCGTGAGCGTGCCATCTCACTCCAGCCTGGGCATCAGAGTGAGATCTGACTCAAAAAAAAAAAAAAA